CATGCTCTGTGCTTGGTGAAGGAACAGATGTTTAATAACTTTGCAGTAGCAAGGAGGAGGTTATATAACATGGCTGAGCTATTTTTGAACTTTGGAAAACGCTGACTGCTCTTTTCAAAGTGTCTTCTGTAAAATCAGGAATATTAAACATGAAGAAAATGTCCCCCTTTCCTGTACTTTTTTTTTTCCCCCCTGAAACTCTATGTACAGAAACAGGTTGGTGGTAAGGTCGTGAACATACCTTCCCTTGCAAGCAGACCCTGGTACCACGCCCAGCCCATGAGCAATAAATCAATGTTTCAATATCCTAACTGCACCAGTTCTTTGCATGAGATTATAAATAAAGTCCATGATGACCACCAAGTGGCATGTCTAGCTGGCCCCATGACTTTGTTCTCAGCCAGTCAAAGCTGGATCCCAGATCCCCTCAGTAACTCACCACAAAGACATCAGATACGACCTCATCTGAACTTCTGGAGCTATTTGCAACCTCCCTACTACATAGGAGGAATAGTGAGAGCTATTTGTTTACCAGATGCTTTGCAGAATAAGACCTTAATCCAGCTGCAAATGTAACTTTTAAGCTTGAAGTGAGGAACTCCTAACTCGAGAGTCCTGGGCTTCTATTGAACAAGCTAATAGATCTAACTCAGGCTACAGATAGGTCTGTTCTCTGCTTTCAGCAATCCAGACTGAAAAATATCTTACTATAAAAAAACCTAAATGTCCCTCAAAGAGGAATTATTAAAGATGGAACATTTATACAACAGAATATCATCAATAAAATAAATGCAATTAATTATCTTCATAGAAGGATTTTGAAAACATAACGTTGAGGTAAAGGAAGTTCTAATACATTAGACACCATTTGTGTACATTAGACAGAAGTATGCATTGGGAATATGGTTACACATATATGTGCATTGAAAGTACGAAAACATGATGATGAATTTGGTTTACATCCAAATCCATGTACATGTTTTCCCTTCTATGGAGCGAAGAGGACAAAACTGGGACAGGGAAACAGATATAATCAGAACTTCTACATTATCATTAGTGTTTTATTTCTTTTAAAATGTTGAAACAAACATTAGCCTTTGGCATCCTTAACTTTGTTCTCTATGATGAATATTGAGTTGGGTATTTTATCAGATTCTGTAGTTTTCTGTACTATTCTTTTTTCAATATTAAAAAAAGGATTCTTATTACCTAAGTTTGTCTTTAGACAAATTTCCCCCACCTTGATCAGACTGTATTGTGTTTGAGGAGAGAAATTATATCTTAATTCATCTATGTATCCCAGGGGCTGGCACAGAGTCTGTTGGTTGGAAGCAATGATAGATGGAGAATAGAAGAATATAGTGCCTTGGCCGGGCGCAGTGGCTCATGCCTGTAATTCCAGCAGTTTGGGATGCCAAGGTGGGTGGATCACCTGAGGTCACAAGTTTGAGACCAGCCTGGCCAACATGGTGAAACCTCATCTCTACTGAAAATACAAAAATTAGCCAGATGTGGTCGTGCGCGCTTGTAGTCCCAGCTACTTAGGATGCGGGGTGGGAGAATTGCTTAATCCAGGAGGAGGAGTTTGTAGTGAGCCGAGATCGCGCCACTGCCCTCCAGTCTGGGAGACAGAGTAAGACTCTGTCTCAAAAACAAAACAAAACATATATATATATA